GTTAAAGATTCTGATGCACTTATCATCGTTTTAATAGCAACTGATAATTTTTCAATTATTTTTATTTCTTCACGACCATATTTTTGAGTATCATTTTTATTCGTACGATCTTTTAAATATTCTAAATATTTTGGTAAAAGTAAATCTATTATACCAAGCATTTGTAATGATCGAATTGAATCAGGTGCATATGCAACTATAAATAAATAAATGAAATCAAAATAATTAATTATAGAATCGAAATTTATGAAAGCTTAACTACAAAACAAAAGAATTTGAAACTGAGTAATATGTATTTCATATTTTTTAAACACTGATTGATCGTCTTATATTAGATACTTATATGACTCGAATCGAACAAAGAATCGGTGGTAGTTTGATATTTAAACAACTGACTATCCTCTGATCGCTATTTTACTGTGGTATACTAAATATTCAACTGTTAATCGTCAATCGATATGATATTCTATTCATAAGTAAGACTTAATGAGACTACACAAAGTCTGAAATGATTTTTCCCCCATAGACGTTTTTTACGGAATTATTACCATTTTATCATAAGGCGAAAACTTGATAAAATGGTAATAATTCCATAAGGAACGTCTATGAGGAAAAAAAAACCTTTCAGACTTTGTCTAGTCTTACTAAGTCCTACTTATGAACAAAATATCACATCGATCGACGATTAACAGTTGGATATGTTTCCTCGTAAGAAAGAAATAGTTTTTAATTTTTCATACTGATTCTTAGTTGTTTAATTGATTTATATTCATTCATTTAAAAAACAATCCTGAGAAACTTGTCCACTATTATCTTTCATTAATTATTAAAAATCGGTATAATAATAAAAGTTATTTTTTCTAATGATAGAATTTTTATGTTTAACTTACCAACAGTAACACAAACATCAATACAATTAAGTAAAGTAAAAATTGTATCATCATCTGCATAACAAAAATCTAAAGTTTTAATAGTTGATGGTGCAATCATATTTCCTTGACCAAGTGCTGCAACAACAGTCATATTTGCTATAGGCATTGTTGTTGGTGTAATAATTGATGTTGTTTTATTTGATGATGAATCATCTTTAACTAATTCTAATATTGAATAATCATCACGCATAGCATCAACAGTTGTTTGTTCTAAAGCAATTAATAAACGAAATAAATTAATTGGTTGAATTTTATTTGTATCCGTAACATCAGCTTGTTCATCAAAATCAAGTAATTGTGATATACTACCAAGCATTTGTAATATAAATGGTATACGATGTAAAATAAAAAATTGTCTACAACAATATTCAATAGCTCTTTTTAACATTGGATTTGATTGAATATTTGAATAAACACGAAGAAATGTTGGCATTATTAATAGATAACTAAAAGAAAAAAA